TAAAGCGTGTTATATTCCATAAAATCTGGTAAATCTCTTTAAAATAACCGGTTCAGAGAACTGTAGATAGGCCAGTAGGTTTATCAACTTTGGGAAGAGTTATGATAACAACGACGAATGCATCTCTAATATCGTATAATCTGTGGAGTTGAGAATTGGTGGAGCGTCTGGATATTTTCTACTTTACTTGTTTTGAAGATTTTTATGGAACAGCAGACACTTAGTGCATCGGATAATCTTCGATATTTCTCTAAAATTGACTCTAAATACTAACCTTCTATTTTGTTTCCAAAATAGATTCACAGGATCAAATATTATTTAGGCGTATATTCCACACATTGCGTATTATGAAGCCTTCTCATAAAAAATATATATATTATCTTTCGGACGCCATATTGTGAAGCCATAACATTGTTAGGTTAATATATTAATAAGCCTTTTCTTTAGTTGCTGATGATAGCTTACACGCTTTCAGATCAGCTTTTAGCCCGAGGTTGAGGGTTTGGTCACATCTATTTGTTTCCTTTTGTACTTATGCTTAATACTAGAGTCACATGAAATGATATTCCTCCCCCCGCAAAAAAAAAAAAAAAAAAAATGAAAAGAGATTCCATATATAAACACGAAGATGCTTTATCGGAAGCAGATTAGTTCATGTCTATTTTAATACAGAACAGCTCTGAGCCGAAGATCGCTAAAGAACAGACATTTTCCCGGAAATTAGTCGATAGTCTGGCGCAATAGTTCATCGTTTGTGCTGGCTCACGTGGCTTGTCGCAACTCTTTCCTCAGTGATTTTATACACTCGTCATTTTCATAAACGCAGTCCTGGGTATGACGATAAATTACGTCCGGTCGCAACGGTTCTAATCGGGAGATAGGAGGTTTTGAGGAGCGTGGTGTCACCCCTTAATTGCTCTTGTTCCCAGTTCCACCCTGAACTTTGGTGTAACACATATTTGGGTAGCTATGGACAAATAGATAATCCCAAACTGGGGTCAAAGCACTATGAAAGTGTAAAAATACATTTTTATAGTACAAAATACTACCAATATATTTTTATTTAAAAAAATACCAAAACATTTATAGTGAAATTACCAACAATATATATTTAGAGAAAATGACCAACAATCTATACTTATAGTAGAATAACCAACAATATATTTTATAGAAAAATGACTAATAATATACTTTATTTGTACTTGGGACACCTCGGCGTGGTGTAATGGTTAGCAAGCTTGTCTCGCTAGAACAATATCGACTGAGTAGTGAGTTCGATCCTCACTAGTTGTCCCATACGTTCGGCCTTGTGCCACATCTAAGCAGCGCTTAGAATATTCGCATTTTATCTATAGTTGAAGTCATACAAATGCATTGAAAATATAGGGTGTTCCAATAAGTTGGACCAATTTTAAATGTGAATTAAGAGTCTAATGATTTTTTTCTTTTTCTTTCAAATTTAACAACTTAAGACTTTGGCAATTTCAAACATGGAAAGATTAACAATCAAACAACATGTTAAAGTTATCGAAGTCTATTACGAAAATGGACATTCAAATTTATAAATATATACAAAACATGCACACCAAAGAGTAACCTTTTGCGGGTGTAGTGGCTTTTCAAAAATCTTCCTGGGATTTTCAACAGCCCAAAGGCGACAATTCTGGTTATTAACGATTCCACCAAGATGAAAATGGGTTTTGTCACTAAAGAGTATTTTTTGAGAAAAATATTCATCGGCTTGCCTTTCCCCATGTCTCCAATTGACGAATATACCGCGCTTCAAGTGGTCAGCAGGTTTGAGTACTTGTGTCAATTGAATTTGTAAGCGTGTAGAGACAAATCTCTGGTCAAAATTCGATGTAACTTTGTTCTGGAGAGGTTCAATTCCTGCGAGCGATGATGCATAGAGGTGTCTGGATTTCCGGCCACATTCTCGTGCACTGCAGCAATATTTTCAGCTGAACGGCGTAAACGAACACGCAATGGTGTTTTCACATCTGCCACCGACCTAATTGCACTCTCATTTGGTGGATTATATTGACCAAAAAATCTCGAATGCATTTCTGTTTGTACGTCATTTTCCATTTCGATAATTTTAACACGTTGCTTGATTGTTAATCTTTCCATGGTTGAAATTGTCAAAGTCTTAAGGTTTTAAATACGAAAGAAAAAAAAAGAACCATGACACGCTTAAACTTAATTCACATTTAAAATCGGTATATTTTGTTGAAACCCCTAAATTTCGGCATAGCGGTTGATATGTCGCTAAACAAAATCTACCAACAAACAACTATAACCTCCAAAAATAAAGCAGTTTTGGTTTTTAACGCGGTTTTTCTGTTGCCATCAGGCGCTGTAAAAGGAAAGAACTCTAGATTCTGTATTATTTTAGGCCCCAACTCTCATCTTCATTGTTATTTCATCTGCTATATGCTAAAAAAAGTTTTCTTTAGTAAAATTGTTAATCTGTGACTAAATTATCATAGTTCCTCATTTTATGGGGACACATCTGTTAATTGTATTTCACTCAGAAGAGATGTCTTTCACTGCTTGAAATCAGGAAGGGATTTACTCGCATCATGTGAACTGTAACAATTAACGAGTTTTACATTCATGAGTTGCTTGTTCATATCTATTTAAGTCTATACATATCTATCTATCTATCTATCTATCTATCTATCTATCTATCTATCTATCTATCTATCGCATCCTGTTAATTCTTGATACAGTCTGTTATCTATCTATCTATCTATCTATCTATCTATCTATCTATCTATCTATCTCAATTTGGTCCGATCTTCCCTGCCTCTCTCTCTACCTCATCCTGTTAATTTTTATTACAGGCAGTTCATATCTATCTAAGTCTATTCATATCTATCTAAGTCTATTCATATCTATCTATCTATCTATCTATCTATCTATCTATCTATCTATCTATCTATCCTGTTCATTCCTGTCACAGTTTGTTCTTATCTATCTATCTATCTATCTATCTATCTATCTATCTATCTATCTACCTATCTTACTTCCATGTCGATATGATCATTTATGTCTTTCTTTGACTATAAGCAGATATTTGTTTTGATTTTACAAGCTGTTCCCTTCTGCCATCTCTAATTAGTCATGTCCAAACTCGAAAGTTAAATGGTTTAATTTGTGTTATACATGACAGAAATAAGAACTTTACGTTCTGCTGCGACAAAATTCAGCTAAACCTTATTAGAAAGTTTAAAAGAGACAAATTTTTCTCCATGTTTTTTATTTTTTTATTTTTATTAAAAAAAAATTCTATTATGACAGAACTGAAGGAAACGGTTCTTCTTCTCTATAGATACAAGGCAAAAAAAAATCCCCCAAAAACAAAAACAAAAAAAAAAAACAATCAAAGAAAATTCCAGTAAAGTAAATTCAATCTTTTCGATTTCCGTTGTCGTCTGCCAATCGTGAGGGACTGAAGCACACCAATAATTGTCCTATTAGTGAGACATTTATGCGCAAATGTTAAGCTGCTTTGAACGCAAAATTTCGAGTTGAAAAATCGTGGAAAAAGTTAACATGTATTCATTAGTCAAGAAAGTAACAGCGATTTTCTTCTAGAAAATAAAACGTTCTAACTTAACTAAAAGGAATTACTTCGTCTTGCCAGTAAATTTATATTTGCAGTTGAGATTTAGTGTCGGGAAACCGAGCGGAAGTTAAAATGAGATAAGTTCAGGCAATTATTTTTCGTTACATTGGCATTAAATACGAAAACGTTCGAATGCCAGGCTCTCTTCATTAAAAGAAATCTATTTATGTTCGGCGCCTTATAGAGATGAAATAGTTGGAAAGGTGAAACATTAAAATTAGCACGTTCGATCATAACTGTGGTTTTGGATTTATGCTTAATAAATATCTATTATTATATTGCTCTATAGATATATATATATATATATATATATATATATATATATATATATATATATATATATATATATATATATATATATATATATATATATATATAAAACTATTAAAGTGATTTTCTAAAAATATTTATGTTACAATTTTCGAATAAATAATTATATATATTCGAAAATTATAACATAAATATTTTAGAAAAAAACTACATATATATATATATATATATATATATATATATATATATATATATATATATATATATTCGTTATTTATTCGAAAATTATAACATAAATATTTTAGAAAATCACTACAAAAATAATTTTCTTTTCTTTCAACACTTCCGGTGTCTTATCAAATGATGGCGTTGAATGTAGAATAAAGGGTTTTAAAAATTAATCCGCGAACTTGATAAAAACGAAAACTAATCGACATGATAGGTCTAAATTATTTAACCAAACCAGTTTGAATATATATATATATATATATATATATATATATATATATATATATATATATATATATATATACATACATACATATATATTTTATTCCATAAATATAGCACATCTTAAAACTATCTTCATATATATATATATATATATATATATATATATATATATATATATATATATATGTATGTATATAGTTTCAAATTTTATAAATGTCCTGCCTGATGTCATCAGTCCTCAAATCGCTATCTATGCTGGTGACACAAATATTTCTCCTGTCTTAATCGATAAGGTTAAATTAGCAGCCGATTTCAAATATTACCTACCATTTGTTGTTAAGTCGGGTAAGGAATGGCTTGTTAATTTTAACGCATAAAAAACCGAAACTGCCCCCGTTTAACTATCTGAGAGAACCCTTTTTACCTTCCATCTGCCTGGCTGATGCTAACCTCCATGAGAGTGACACATTGCGTCTTCTCAGACTAATGTTTGCAGCTGCCATGAAGTCGAAAGAATATATTGAATCAATTGTTAAAACTGCAGCTAAGAAAGATGCTTCATTATGTCGTCCTAGACATTTTTTTCTTGCCAGAATCTATCTTACACATTCATAAGTCTACCATTCATCCTCTCGTCTGGTGCTCCTGCTATATATTTAGAAATTCTTAATGAAATACAAAGAAGAATATGCAATGTGATTTTGTTTTGACCTGGCATCTCAGCTTCAGTCTCTGTAACGTATCTTCCATGTCTCTTTTCAACAAATACTTTCATGATAATTGTTCTGGTGAACCCTTTTGTGGACTTTATGAATTTAAACGAGGTACTTGATTGGTTTCATTATTTTACAGATGAAATAGCTTGATGTAACTGTAGGTTCTATGCCAACAGTATATTCTATCAAATTTCTCACTTGTGGGATATTCTTCCAGCTTCTTGCTTCCCAGTCAACTTTGATCTTCAAATGTTTAAAGGCAATGTCAATGGTCATCCTCAGCCTTCTTAATTCTTATTCTTTTATTGTTGTCACTCATTAATAGTAGTTTTATCATATTCTCTTAAACTCAGTAACCCCGTCAGCCCTAGTGTCATTGGGTGAAATGTGGAGTTTAATAATTTTTGAACTGAAGTGATCGATACGCGGTGGATGCGAGAAAACCGAGATTTTGGATTTCAATCCAGTGTGTAGGTATTTTGTGATTCCATACTTACGCATTCCTATCTCTAATTTTTAATAATAATGATAATAAAAACAATGACTTTTATGGCAATATAACAGAATGTTTCATATAAAAAAAATGATATTTTATAGAAAGCTGGAAGAATCATGTAAACATTTTAATTGATTTGCCACCGGAAATCTACACGAAATCCAAAATATTTTGTTTCATAATGAAATCGATTTTTTGCAATTAAAAACTAAATTAATATTATTTACACTATTTACATCGTTCGGACTGTTGCCCTCATCTTCATTGCCATATTCACAACGTTTCGGCCGTTGTGCGCCCCGGACTTCTTCAGATGAAATTAGTTGGAATTTAGAAACGAAATCTTTATTTAGGGGTGGGGTGGGGGAAATTATTATAATTCTAGTTTGGATATCTCATGCATCTGGAAAATGCAAAAATTTAAAAAATCAGCGCATATGATAGGCTAACTAATCTCCTAAGTCGCCCAATATAGACATGACTACAATGTAGGAACCAGTAAGGCCAAAGAAAAACAACAATAAAAAAAACAATTGCAATATGGGCTCTGGTTAAAAAAAAAGAAGATTAATGGAACATGACGTTTACAGTTCCCAAATATCCACTTAATGATGCTCTAACGGAAATAAGTATTGTTTAAAAGATTCAAAAAATAACCTAAATAGTTGTGAGTTCAATACATGGCCACAGCAGTGGGACAAAGTTGAGTTCAGTCACTTATGTGCCATTCGTGATATACGCTTAGGCGATCATTTATCTTTCGATACATGACTGACGAGGCAGAAGTTTTTTTTCCGCAGTAGGCTGACATTCCTTTCTGCGGTAGACCAGTTGCCATCCAAGGCTACAGAACACAGTCTGTCCTGCTATTTACCCATAGCTGGAGGGAGAAGAAGAAAATTCCTACCTTTCCCAAGGGTATTATCACGTAAGTGGATTTCAGTCAGTTATGTGCCATGCGTGATACACGCTTAGGCGACCATGTACCTTTCGATACATGACTGACGAGGCAGATGTTTTTCCGCAGTAGGCTGATATTCCTTTCTGCGGTAGACCAGTTGCTATCCAAGTCTATACAACCCGGTATGTCCTGCTATTTACCCATATCTGGGGGAAGAAAAAGAAGATTCATACCTTTTCCAAGGGTATTAGCACGTAAGTGAATGTAATGGATTCGACTGGAATTCGAACTCGGCTTTCCGATTCCTCAATCCGAAGCCGCTATTCATTACCCCAGTGTGTCTCCAAGTTGAGTTAGTAAGGGAAATTAACTGAAACGGAGATATTCAAAGGCATGGCATGTGGAATTAGAAAATTATACGCCCGTGGGCGAAATAAAGGGTTCGTTTTTATATTCCATCTAATCTCATTCGATGAACGCTGGAGTGTACGACGTAAATATAAAAAAAATTAAGAGAAGGATAACAGTCCTAACAATATAAATAGTGTAATTGATTTTAATAGCTCATTTCCGAAAAATAGACAGATAAATTTTCGTTTTGTCGAAATATTTCTTTAAATCTATCCCTAGAAGCTTTCACTGGATCTGGTCTAGTAGTCATCGAGTCTAATAGGTTTCTCAATATTTGACGCCGATCAACCCCATTTAATACTATCGAGGAGGTTGCGTTTTATTTTCAAGCCCAAACGGATGTTTTCACGATGTACTTTCAGGTTGTCTCCAAGATTTTTCATGGCATTGAGGTCACCTGAATAATCTATATACCTAACACATCTATTGGCAGAAAGCGAAATTTGTGCGCAGCTCTGAACGCTATCAAACTGCTTAAAATGAATTAAATATCTACGTTCTAACGCTGGTCATGTAATATTCAAAACTTGTGTCGAAAGTTTCTGTAAAATTCGAGAAAACTATGTGCAGAATGTTTCATTAAGTTTCAGCAAGTGTTTATGCGATCTATTTCTCGGTGCAAATAGACAGCTGTATAAGAAGTCAATTTTATTATCAGATATCTTTTCGTCTGTTTGATGATGAACAAATAAAGGCTTTCGTTTACAATTACTGTCTTTCATAATTTGATTTTGTCTTTTTTTATTATCTTGCAGGTTCACAAAGACGGCTGTACTGGTCACCTCACTTTTGTGGGAAATCACACACGGAAGGAAGATTTTCTCCAGCTTATCATCCTTGGTGGTCACCATAATGGCTCGGTAATGTCTTGCTACAGATTAAACTTTGCTCCTGTTTCTCTTCTCCCACAGGCAGAATAAATGATTCCGTATCGATTTTATTTGAAGCTTTTCAAATCGGATATTGTTCTCAAGAAACTGGCAGGAATAAACCGTGCTTTCATCAAACGATAACGAAGATCTTAATATATAGCAAAAATAACCTTTCTCAATGCGCCAAACTTTCCATTAGAGAGACAGACGGTGTGTCGTCTGCCTGAAGGCGAATTACACGTTTTTAGCCAATTAGTTCTGAGCTGTATTTACAATCACACACTATTCTTTGATACCCATTGCCTGTGGCGGTCAGTCACATTACTGGCAATGCCATCAGTATTAGCATCGATTTTTATATAATTCTAGCAAGAATTGAATTACTCTAGCAATTCAAAGTCTGCCAGATAAGATTCCGTTAAGCGACACCAAGAGAACAAACTTGATCCTGTGATCTTACGTATGAGGTGATCCGGTTAAAAGTTTAAAGTTAAAACCTTTTGACAGGCTGCATGAATTATTATTGATTACTTGCAGCAGTTAACGAGCTAATCTTGCAAACAAATCGCCTTGACTCTAATATTATGGACGTCTACAATTAAACCTATCCGCCTAAAATAGATAATATATGTAACTAGAACAAATGAGTTTCCCGCCAGAAACACACTAAGCCACAAGGGGTTTCTCTGTGTGGGATAATATGAGAAAATTATTAAGGAGACAGAACAATAAAATAACAGGATTAAAACGACAAAAGATAACGATTGATATTGCATTTAAATTTTTGAAGCTGGCAGTAGAACACAAAAAGCCGGAACTGAGTTGCACATGTGCGACAGAAGGAATTCTTAGCTTACGGCCACATCTTTCCAATTCAACTGTAATGTGATGAGACCTGGCCGCCAAACCAGTACTGGGCTTAAATTTGTAAAGTGTAGGTATCAGAAAGTAAAGTACACCAGAAAAATTACCATGAAAATATTTATAGAAAAGACAGGGAAACTACGTTAAGGCGGTAGGAAAAATGACTGAAGCTGAGATGCCAGGTCAAGACCAATAACTTTGCAGATATTTCTTTGTTATCTAAAGTCTCTTAATATGATGCCCTATCAAAAAGTATCGAGACTTGTTCTATGAAAAGAAACCTACAACGCATATCCATTCAGCATGTAATTTCCTTCGAAGTAGTCTCTTTCTGAAGACATACACATTACCCCACCTTGTTTCCGTTGATAGAAGCCTTCCTGGAACTCCTTTTTCGGAACATCGAGCAGTTTCCTCGTCGCATTCTCTTGGATTGTCTCGACGCCTGGAAATGTTGTTTCTTTTAAGTAAGATTTGTCTTTTGAATTGGAAAAAGTCTCAGGAGACATCATCTGCAGGATATAGTGGTTGTCGAACCTGGAGAATGTTATCCTTAGCAAAAAACTGTTGAAAAAACTATGGCTTCTGATGGAGACTTTATGGTGTGACGAGACAGCTAAACTCTACACACTTTCCTTCCAAGCGTTGCTATAAACAACGGACGTGTGCGAGAACGTTATGACTTAGTGTGTATGCACGACTGCGCCAAGTAGATATACTCTGTATACTTCAGCTCCGGTATCTCACTCCAGGAGCATCCGATATAATTCCTCGATAATTCTGGGTTCTATTTGCCTTGGTAGTTTATTTCCATCTTCGTAATAACTTTCACATCACTCGCAGGTTCGGAGGGAAGAAATAAAAATGGACGTGTGGAGAAAGTGAATTTTCAGTGACATTCAGCATTCCATCTCCTTATTCGCCCGTAACAACTTCTCGATCGACACATGGTAATCTGATACCATGTGTTACCAATAAAGCCATGAGAAATCGATTTATATGTTTCCCATGATTTCGGTTCATTAAGGGCAATAAGCTCCTCAAATACTTTATCCTACAGGACTTCTCCTGAGGTCCGACGAAGATGCCCTGCTTGAGCTTAGGACTCTGAGCTATGAAAAAAAGTGCACTGGTGTTGGAAACCAGCACCATTTTTGTCCAGGGCCTTCACGAAATTCTTCATTTGACCAAACTTGATATAAAGAGGAGGAAGAAGCACCTCGTTCGTGTTCTCTTTGTTCTTTGATATTGTTTTTTTTTATCAGGCACGAAAGTACTTCTAGTTGCCTCCTCCTACTGTTTGTAATGCTTGGACATAGCCTGCCTGTCACAGAAACGGATAAAGCAACAGTACTTCGTGAAGACTACTTCTCTACACATAGAGATCCTAATGACCCACAGAGACTGCACTGTCACTCTTTGTATTTGGCATACTCTAGGGGAGCACATTGAAATATTAAGAAAGACTGATTTTCTCGAAAAAGTATATTAAATTAATCCGTAATCTATACTAGGATCAAACAGCATATACGCAGATAGACGAGTAGAGAGAGAAAGAAAAAAAAACCCAAAAAACTAGAATGAACATGTGGTTTAACCAGACTTATTCCACATGTACTGCGATACGACTCTACGGAGACTAGAAGACTAGAAAAAATATCAGAATTTATTATCAGGGACAGACCTTAAACAAAAATCTTTAACGAGATGACACTGTTGATGGCAAAATCATGAAAAAAAACTGAAACAAATTTTCGACAATATAGAAAATAAAACCGGTTCCCACTCCTCCCTACTCTTTTCAACAGAACTAAAGGTTTATTCCTTGTTTTCTGTTTAAGATTAGGCCTCCAATCTGCTTTAAATCTATACTTCTAAAATCTCCACCTAAAACTATGAACTTTTATTTGCTATTGATTTACTTTTTCTTTATTTAATAAGAGTAAATAGGTGCGCCTGTTGTCTGGTAAACATATCACCCCCTACTTTTTAAACAGAAGTAGAAGTTTATCAATTCTTTCCTGTTTAGGATTAGGGATCCGGTTTCTTGGAAAGCCTTTTCTTCTCTTTCATTTTCAAGTGTCCAGTATGCGACTTAGTGGCATTATCTCCTTCTTCGGAGTCGTGCCTCTTGTACAGGATGAACATCATTGTAAAAAAAATAAAATAAAATAAAAGGATATTAACTGTAGAAAAACAGAATACAAAAGAGACATACCAAATTATGGATCGAGAATATGAAATTCAACAGATGAGGTAGAATCAGGAAATCCCGAGGCGCAGCACAAGAGAGAAAGTTTTCTTCCAGAAAAAAAAAAAAGGAATGTTTTAAGAAAGAGAAAAAAAATCATGAAAAACATAGCAAAGCTAAAATGCAACGTCATATCTAATATTCTATAAGATGGCGGTCCAACGTTCCAAAAATAAAGACGAGATTTGAATGAACAGGTATCTGTTTCCACAGCCGAATACCGTGATTATCATATACAGAATATATGACCAATGAAGAGGTTTTAGGGAAAATAGGAACAAGGAAAGGGATACTTACAATCAAGGACACATGGCACAGTGGATAAAGGCGTTGGTTAGATCCAGTGACAGGACCCAAAGAGTGTGAGTTCAATACCCGGTTAAGGCAGCGGAGAACTTTCAGAGGGAAATTAAGAGGAGATAACTGATAAACTGACATCCATTAAACATGGCACGTGGAACTAGAACAGTCTACCCCAGTGCGCGAATTAAAAGGGTTTTAGTTGACATTCCAACCGCCGGAAGAAGGCCTGAGCGTATAACGGCCGAAACGCTGTAATAAATATGTCGACAAAGATGAAGACAATAGTCCGAATAATGTAAATAATGATCACAATGAGACTTGAAATGAATAAAATGCAGTTCTACCTATGAATGTTGAGAGTACCATAGATAGAATATGTGAGTAATAAGGTAAAGGATACTTACAATCAGAATAAGACTTGAAATGAATAAGATGTAGTTCTACCTATGAATGTTGAGAATGCCATAGAATATGTGAGAAATGAGGAAGTTTTAGAGAAAATATGAAGTACAATATAAAGGATATTTACAATCATAATGAAACTTGAAATGAATAAGATGCAGTTCTATCTGTGAATGCCTTTCTTTAGTAATTTCTTTCTTTTTATCACTGAAGCCAGGGGTGTCTTTTCTCCTATTTTTATGCGATCAAAAATTCACTTCTTACAAACATTTCTCTTAATAATAATGTCAAAATAATAAAGCAGACGATGTTATCTTATTCATGGTTAGTCAATTTTCAGCGATTACCTACCTCTCTTTCCGTCGTTTGATACGATACATGTTACAAATGGTGCTTTTAATCCGTTGCTTCTCGGCTTTCTTGGCTGGGATCAAATTGTAGTATCTGTCCTCTCATTTGTATGCTTGTCTGTGGCCAGAGCGCAACTGAATATATTATTGAGAGATGCCCGGTCTTCAGTACCTACCTCAATATGCTAAAGAGGAGAGGGGGCGGTAGTCATATTAATGTCAGCATAAACGACTTGGCCCGAGGCGTACGCACTGAAGCTACCCACACTAAGCCTTGTGTAACATCGCTTGTGGGACCTTTAGGGAAAATAGGAACTACAAGGTAAAGTATACTTACAATCATAATGAGACTTGAAATGAAAGAGATGAAGTTCTACTTACGAATATGTGAGTATTGAGACCTTTTTTTTTAAAGAAAATAGGAATGAAAATGAAACGAATATTTACAATCAGAATGAGCAGATTAATAACTGGGACATTGAATGAAGCGTGAGGCTTGGAAAATATAACACACACGGGATATTGAAAAGCAAGAAAAATACTGTATAACCGACATAATATATCTAAGCATGGTGTTACCAAAACAAGGACCAGAAAATAGAATTGGCAGAATTGGTCAACATTCTCTTAGAACAAGACGTTGTGGAGATAAATGATCACACATCGTCGGAAAGTACATAGCAACTTTGTGATAACGATGCTTGCACGTATCTGTAATACATTTTGGTTTGACTAAGCAGATTATTGGAAAGCAAAAAACAAGTTTTTTCGAAGATTTTAACTTTTTTTTTATTATTATAGATCGAATAACATTCGAG